ATTTGAAAAGGATATGAATTTTTCTTCTTTTTTTGTAGACATATCCTTTGATAAAGACAGAATACCTCTTTCCTTACTTGTGTACAAACTTCTTCCTGTGCTGAATATCTCTTTCAGAAAACCCCAATAAGTAACTGGTATTTTCAGGAGTGTTTGTGATGGTCTTGCATTTAAATAGTGTGTAATTCTTTTTTCCCTTAGTTCCTTTCTGAAAAGATTCAGTGGTGACAGGCTGAAGTGGACTGGACTATAATGTTAGTGTCATGAAAAGCTGGAGGTTACCAGAGGTAAACCCTCTGGTCCCTTGAGTTTTTGTTTTGTTAAAGATTTGATAAGCTGCAGGAGAATAAAAGGCAACAAAGAAGCATGTCTGTGGATTCAAGGAATAGCTGTCGGAGGTGGAGACTCTGAAGAGCCAATTCCCATGGAAAGGGTTTTCCATATTACCTTCAGTTGTCCTTGCTAGCTCTGAACATGTCCTCACTCTAAACATTCAGAGGAGAGATATGGAACAATTAACTTTTATCTTAAAGATGTTCTAGGTGCCTTATATCTTCCGTCTCTCCTGAAAGGCAAATTCAGAGAGCTTACTGACAGGATAGATGTCTTATATGTAAATCCTGTATCAATGGGGAGCAATAGCTAATCACAGAACAGGCACCTCTTCTCCTTCCATCCATTGCCCGAAATATTTACCCGAGTCTGTCTTAGAGAAAATCTGATACTAAAAAAAAAGTTAGTTTGTATAACAGAATAGTTCAGAGCTCTTAAATTTCTCTTTTGCTTATCTTACTCTTAGAGAGCTGTCAAAAGACTGTGCCTTCACCATCCAGCTGCTCATTTCCTGCTCATGCAGGCAGTAGCAGAAGCCAAATAGGCATTTTCGGAGAAGTGTACTTCTTCAAACGAAAGCATTTTATTTAAAGTTCTCCATATAATAGTGAAGGCATGATAAGGCAGAAAATTCAGCACTATGAAGATCTTCCTAAGAAGGTCTTCAGCACCTTAGTGGCTTAACAAATATTCTCCATACAAAAGGAGAAGAAAATCAATATGGATTGCCTGCATATTTTCTTTATTCTTTGTTCTGCCTGATAAGCAAAAATGAAATCAAACATGTTCCTAAAAAAGAGGTACTTCATTGACCAGAATACAAGTAGTGAGCCCGGGCAGCTAAAGCTAAACAGAATTATAGGAAAAGCAGATTCTAGGATGGAAAGTTCTGCAAGTGTCTAAGCACAGTTTGTTGAGAAGATATTGACTGCGATATTTATTACCTTTTTTTTTTTAACCCGTCGCCCTCTTGAGCCTAAATCTATCTTTGAAGAGAGATTTTTCATGTCTCCCTTTACAAAATTAAAAAAAAAAAAAAGGCTTTTCTTCTTTCCAGTCCTTTTTTTTCTTTAGATTCCAGGTAGAAGACCATTTGTAGATGGGGAGAATGTCTCATAACCAGGCTTTCTTTTATGTTTTCATTCTGTGATACTACATCACAGTGACATCAACACAAAGGACAAGTGCAAAACCTTTTAGCCGAGTGTCTCTTCAAAGTGCCATTTAATAGCCTGGGAACTTATTTCCCTGCAACATAAGCTGGCAGAGGAGCCAGTGAAATGAAGCATCGACCCTTAAAGTTTATCAAGATAGGCTTTTGTAGAAAGGCAGTCATGCTTTCTTCTGAGTCTGCATAAGCTTTTTTTTAAAGAAGTTGTGTGTGATGCAGGCGTCCCACAAAGGCAGCGAATTGTTGTGTTTTGGAATGCATATGGTCACAAAAAATGCTAACTTGAAAGCTGCTCAACTGCTCTTGCTAATGAAGTCCTAAAGCACGCTGCCTCCATAAACTGTTTGTAGCTTGAAATTTTCTGATTTCATGCTCAGGAAAAGTTTTCATAGCTCTTGAACAGACTTAATCAATTTCAGGCATCTGTTTCATCATATTTGTTTATCTAATTAGTTAAGAAATAGTGTATTGACTAATCAGAAGGCTTCTCAGATTTTCATTGCAGAACTCAGGGTCTGTTCACAATTGCAGACCTCCAGCAAAATCTGGGACATGGAAAATCAAAAGCAATGTGGAAAGAACATAATTTTTATATGCAGATGTTTTAGAAAGTCTTCCCTTTCATAGCATAATTGAATTATTACTTAAAGGACCCAAAAAGATAACATATTAAAGAAATTGAATTGTATATATGATTAATTCACACAGTGGAAAGCTGATTATAAAAAAATAATAATTTTAGATATCTGACCTTGAAATGAATAAAACGGTTTTTAATTTTGTCATTTCCTTTATAAACATGGAATGTAATTAATGATAATCTTGGCAGAGAAGTAAGGGTCTAACATAAAAATAGGTTTACAAAATAAATTTATAGCATTCCTGGACTTAACATATGATAAAAGGAAGGATTTTCTAATATGTGAAAACTAATGAAATATTCAGCAATGTTAATTAAATTCACATGTTGTAAAATTGTCTGACGATCTAAGTCTCTCTGGAATATGCTTCTTTTCTATCAGGATTTTACATGAGATTTCGTACTGTGCTTTAAATCAATATATACATGTCATGAAACCTCCACGCCAGCCCTCTAAAGCTCCGGCTACTTCTAGCTGGTCACTTCCACTCCAGCTGGAACTGAGGGCGCAGTTTTGTGTTGCCTTTAATCCCGTTTTCCCCTGGGTCGCTGCTGAGAGGGGAGGTCACACTCTCCCTGGTCCCTCCGCTGCCCTGGACGGACTCGTTACGTTCCCTCGAGCAAGTGGGAGCTCCTCAGGGAGCCACCAAAAACCTAAACCCTTTTGGTGGCGCCTCGTGGGCCTCGTGTTAACAGAGTAAGCTGCTGTCCACTGTGTGCCCTGAGAGATTCCCCAGCTGTTCCCGTTCCTTTCCAGGCAGCCTGTTTTCTCCATGTGTGTCTTTTACCTGTCCCCGCTGCATACCAAAAAAGAAACTCCCTCCCAAGTCTTTTCTCCCTGCTGCTCTTCTCAGACTTGGATCCCAGGAGGGTTTTCCTGCCAGGGCACCACCTGGGGAACTGCATCTGGGCTATGGTCATTTCACAAAGCAGGCAGCAATTTCTTAATAAAGTGTGTGCACCAAGATGATGTGTGGGAGCATCTGGTACAGCACAGGTACATACTTGGAGAGCAGTCATCTGCACCTTGGTATTCGGGGGTAACTCTAAACTTACATGTGGGACCTAACAAAATCATCCTGCATCATGGAAAAAAAAAATTGAGAATCATATGTCTACTAAATACTTCTGAAGACAGACATTTCCCTTATGAATTTGAACACATTCTTAGAAGGGGCTGTATCAAACAGATGATCACCTAGAACATGAATTGAAAATACTTGAAAGCAAATGGAGACTTTTTAAAATCTCCTTTTCATGTGTAATTCCGGAATTATTTCCTCTAAGCTTTTCGCAGAAAATCATTCTGTTATGGAATAAGATGTTACTCGATAAAATTGAATTAGACTGGCTTTATTCGAGTGAAGAAAATTAGGCTTTGTATGAAAAACAAATCTCAAATTAAGTCTTGAAAAATTCTCTGATGCAGTTTGGCAACCATTTGATGAATTATGAACAGATTAATAAGAAACGATTTGAGGAGATATGCATATAATTGTGATACCTTGATCCAGCTGTAGGATTTGTCATTGTCTAAGTCATCGTTTTGATCTTGCGAGTAAAGATCACAATTTTTTCATAGCATATATTTCTAAATTACCTCATAAATTGAAAGATGCCGTTTGAATTTCTGAGATTAGCATTAATTGCTTTTAATGCTTATTTTTATTTCTTCTCTTTTTTATTTCCCGTTCGGTTGTTGCTGCTGCATTTTATTAATGCACTTCCAGTGAAACCATGTGGTTGTCTTTTTCTCCTGTAGATATCTCAGAAGGTTAAGGGGCAGAACTACTGTCGTTGTATGGAGAGTGACTTTACTCCAAGAAGTAGGAAATAAGGAGTCACTCTACACTCTACACTATTCTCATGTGAATCTCTGTATCTGCTCTCTGCCCAACAACTCTCAAAACTTTCTTGTCCGCTCAGTATTGTTTTTCATTGGACATCTGTGGTGCAGTTGGCTAACTGCACAAGGTTAAGGGAAGATCTTACCAGTGGAAAACACTCTGTAAAAACTATATTGCAGACAAAACATCATAAAAAGTCAGAAGAGCTTTCATACCATAGTGGTCATACAGTTGATCACTGTCAGCTTGTAGAGAGAGTGGCTCAGGGCTAGGAAGCTGTCCCACTCGCGCGACATGCAAGGGGGCTAGCAAGCCCCATTTCGTGGCTCCTCTTCTCTTCTTCAGATTATCCCCTTACAGCCCAGCTCTTCTTCCTGTCGCAGGGTATAACTCTCTTCAGGAAGGTAGTTCAGCTGCTTTTGCAGCCCCTGGACAGACAGCAGGCTTGTGGTGCTGGCCCAAGGCATGGCCAGGACATACTTAAACAGCAGCTTTGAGCATGCCTGGCTTGGAGCCACCCTTAGGCATGTCTGCAAGTGAGGACACGGTACAGGGCAGCTCATACCACCTGCTCTGGTGAGGATGTTCATCAGAGGCTCTGTAGAAAGGCAGTCTAGCAGCATGTTTGTCTGTTCAGTAAAATGCAGGATGAAAATTATGCCCATCATGTTCTTCAAAACGAAGAACCCTGTCCCAGTCTTCTCTCTGTTGCTAGGGGCTGTGTATCATCTTAGTATGTTTTTGTTACATACTCTTGTGTTTTCAATGGCTAGAAAGTCTGCCATGAGGAGTTTAAGAAGATGATCATGATAATGTTATTAAAAGGAGCATTCCTTGGAAAGTTGCAACATGGTCATAAGTTGCTATGGGGATCTCAGTACTGCAAGGTACAATGGATGACTGTGTTTTTAGCACCTGAGGATGAGCAAGGCCAAAACCTATAAATCCTGACGGTCTGTGTGTTGGTAGATTATGTTGCTCACTTGAAAAAATGTTTCTCTGACTGCAGGCATGGAACCCGTTGTGCTGGAGAAGTGGCAGCCACAGCAAACAACTCACACTGCACAGTGGGAATCGCCTTTAATGCCAAGATTGGAGGTATGTGAAACAGTCCCCCTGCAAGAAAATGTAATCGGAAAGCAATGTGTACATTCAGACCTTTCTAAATAGGAAGAAGAGCTCTGTACGGATAACAGCCCTAGCTGTGTGAACAAGTAAAACCCAGTCGTGGTGTTGAAGTCCAGTACAGAAGGAATTTGTCAGCAGACAGACACTTGACAGACACTTCTGCAGTGCTCACTGGGAGACTGCCTCTTGCTACACGCAGGAAAATAGAAAACAAGACTATTGATGAAAATGCAAAAGGCAGAGCTACATTTGGGTTTTCTCACATGCTCAGAGTTTTGAGTCATGAGCTCTGACAAATCAGAATTAAATGTGTATAGCAAGAATATCACTTTTTCATATAGACCCCAAACAAAAAATTGTCGTCATGGGGAAACTCAAAAGAATTTTGTGGGTTTGGGCCATTGTTGTGAGGTATCTTTTGATCGTTGTGTGTAATCAGATTATTGCCTGAAGCATGAGATTTGATGATGCTTTTTTGCTCTGTTCAGCCACAAGATTCCAAGTGGTTCTGTAGATTCTTAGTCGGTGGCTGTTCAGTCAAGATCTCTGGCTTCATTCTTGGAAATGACTGTCAAGATATCTACATACCTCCTAGATCGCAGCCCTGCTGGGCGAAATTTTAATGCTCCAAGGGAAGTCTTACCCTGAATTTTGGTGAAATTGTGGGATCAGTATATCACCTTTCAGTGGAAAAATCTATAGCTTAAACTCATTAACAGTTGATTTTCTGCCCCGAAGCAGAGACCATCTGTAAAAACAGAAACATGCTTACCTATAAATAAAACAAAGGGCAGTTCAAAACCACGAGGAGGAGGCAAAGCTGAGGGCATGTTTCCACAACTAATGGTCCTGTATCTTTGCTTTACTGGATCAGTACGTGTTTGATCCAAATCAGATGTGAGCACAGCTCCGTTTCAGATTAGCCGAAACGCACAATATAGACCTAATGTCAGCTTTCTGTTTTCCTGCTGGCTTCAAGAGCATAGACAGCACCTGATCCAGCATAAGGTTAAAGTAATGCTTAGAAACAATTTCCCTTCAGGCAAAGAGCCTGCCCGCGCAGCGTTAACCTGTCAGAATGGTTTAAATGAAATTGAACTGGCCGAGTGAGGTTCTTGCTGAACAACATCATGAGCAGGTTCTCTCGTGTGGACGTGGCCATTGGTCCTGTAGCTGGAGCGATGAAATCAGTCCTACTGTGTGCTCAGACCACGTCTGAGGAGAGTCAGGGCATCCATGCAGATAACAGCTGATTTCTAGAGCAAAAGCTTCGTTTGCAAGTCGGACCAGCAACAGCCCAGACATGTCCTTGAGGAGCTCTCTATTATTAACAAGGGCTTTTTAATAGGTTATTATTTATTAAGCACTAGGAATGTATAATAATACTTTAGAAAGCCCCCAGGCATATTAGATGAATCACAGCCTTTTCCAAATATAGTGTAAAAACTGATTCAGATAGACATACTATGACAAGAGTAATCTGATCAGTAAAGATTGGATATATGTGCCTTTTTCACAGTACATTATAGCTATTCTGAATTAGGACTGTACCAGCATTCAAGAAATCTTGTTAGTCTAAATGAAATTTATCTATCTGCTCTGTTTAACACAACACTTCTGCAGAGCCATCAGTAATGCTGTATTTTAAAGAAAGCTGAAAACACTACAGTGGCAGCTGTGTAAACCTCACTTGAGGTCATGTACCATCCTTTAAAAGTATCAGTACTTCAGAATAAGGCCGCAGGGGACTCAGTAGATAATCTGCAGTAAATCAGAGGCAAGAGGGAATTCTAGGGTATCGGGAAGGGAGGTTAAGCCTCTCCTTCTTTTAGGTGTATGTATTTAAGAGTCTCACTGTTGCTGACCTCTACTTGGCATGCCTTTCCTCAGAAAAGCCATAAGCTGCGCATGTGGATGTACCGCGCTCATGTTTCCCCTCCACAGGCCAGGGAGAGTATAAAAATGTTGAATCATATTATACTGGACTAGTGTTCAGGCTGCTTATTTCCCAGGGATTTAAAGACCCTTATTTGGCCTTTTAGGGGAAGAAAATAGAGTCAAGGTAAAGCAATTATGTTTTTCTCACACAGAGGAGCACCTGCTGATAGTGAATTTGAATTTGGGCCACCAAGATGGGTATTCTTTACTTCAAACCATATGTGAGTTACTGCTTCTCTGGACACAGAAGTGATACTGAAGAGGGAAAGCAAATGGAAAAAGAAATCCCTTCCATTAATATTTCATCAAATGCTGGCAGCTGAACAAATTCAATTAATGATCTTTAGAATGGAAAGTCATAAACAAAATATCTACCGCTGATGCTCACTTTCTTTTTCTGTGTTTGTCCTTTGTGTCTAATTTCTGCATATTTAAAAAACCTTGATCACCAAATGGATCAGAAAAAAAAGATTCTTAGAAAGCCTGAGACTTCTCTTGCAACTGTGTAAATGGAGATCGAATATGCAGATATGAAACGATGAGTGAAACTGCAGTCTGGACCTTCCATTCCCTTGCAGGTTATGGGATGATGTGTATGAAAAAATATGCAATATGCCTGCAGTTATCCTAGCTAAAGGCCCTGTCATTAACAAACAAAGCAGTACACCAAAGGGGTAGATTTTTTAATGTGAAACTCTTTGCAGTAATCACACGTAGCAAATTACCACCTACAGAGCTTGCGAGACTTTTTATAGGCTGGATGGTTGGCGTGTTGTTATTGTTGCAGACTTATTGTGGAAGTTGCAAAGCATCTGCGGGGATTTGGGTGCTTAGTTACTTGGCTGGGCTTGAGTCCTGACGGGAAAACAGTTACACTGAATTATGGCAGAACAGATGTAGATTGTCTTCAGCTGACGAGGAATTAGTTCAGCTGTTTCTTTAAGCTTAAGTCAGATGCTGATTAAAAACAAACATTTTAAAAGAAACCTTGCTTTGAGCTTGTTTTATTTTCTTTTTTTTTTTTTCTGTTTGTTTCCTGGGATTTGTTCAAAGTTTGTTCTGACTAAAATGCCACTTACATTTTGGCACTTACTGCAAATATTGGAAAAAGTTTATAGAACACTGCAGTCTTAGGTGGAACAGTCTGGAAACGCCGCCTGTTAATTGCCTTCTGGACAGCTTTTGTTGCACTATCACCACATGCCAAATGCACTTTGGAGGTTTTGTGATCGGCAAAATTAACTACTCCAGCCATTTGAAAAAAAAAAGTACAGGAAAGAATAGAAAAAAAAAAGAAAAAAAAAAGAAAAAAAGAAGAGGAAGCAAGAGAAAAGACTTATGTTTTTCTAATAGCCAGTGTGACATCCATTGATCAAAGTTACACCTGAAGTATGTCTGTCAATTATTGCAGACCAGAGCAATGCCTTGTCCATATTGCTTCAGATTGACCACTTCACCGTTAACAAAAGCCTGTATAAAATACCTCAGATACCAATGGCAGAACTCAGAGTTTTTGTTCCCAGGGTGAATGGTGTATTATTTAAGTTTGCTACATGGTTACTGAAACATCAAGGGAAGCTTCATTTTCCTTCTTTTAAGCATAGTGTACCTTTTTATCATCTTTATTTAAAACCAAATATATTTTAGTGTGCTTGAAAGAAATGAGAACACAGCTTCCACTCATCATTAATTTCTGAGATTATGCTGAGGAAGAAAAATAAAACCTGAGATTCCCAAAGTTGTTTTAGTGGCTCTTTATAAAGTAAAGTTCATAGTGAGATCACTGTTTGGACAAGTTTATTATCTCACAAAACATGGGCAGCTTATGTATGAACTTAGAAATATGATCACTTTTCATTTTTGAGTCAATTAGAATAAGGGAGAAACATAGACCCTCTATCAACAAAGCAACCCCTATACCTTTTGCTAGTTGAAAGTTAAGGTCTTGGTAAATACTCCAGCTAATTCATCCTGAAATCACGAGCAAATCAGAATGTGTCTATAATTAAAATATGTAAATTTGGTATATAAGCAGCAGTGGTCTTTTTAAAGTGGAAAAAACTTCAAATTTGTTGATTGTGGAAGGGATCATTATTCTCTATTATCATTAAGTTACATGTTAATTATTATTTAATTTCTTTTATGTCTTTGATTGAATGTTGACCTAAATGTATGAAGGTCTTCTTTCTTACTTGAGTTAAGGCTACCGTCAAGGGGTTCACAGTCAGGTTTAAATTCAGTCAAAATGTTAAGGTTAGTTAAAAAACAGCTTTAAGCTATTCTTGGTTTTCAAATTGAAGCCTACTTTATTTATCTTAGGGAGCTTAAAACATCAAGGTGCCATTCATTTTACAAGTGCTGGCACACTGTTTTATCAAATCCCACATTAGCGGATTTAAAAAAAAAATCACAAAGCAGAATTGTATCTTAAAAAAGCCCCTTCTGTATAGCAGAAGGCGCTCACAATATTGTAGTTCAACATTGAATAATACGTGCACGTAAGGTATTGTCAGTAACTTTCTGTAATGCCGTTGCTACTGCATGAAGTAATCCATCTGTACACAAGAGCTTTCTCCCTGGTTTCCTCTTTGTAGCCCCATAGAATGAAGGAATAATCCCATGTTTATCTATCAACAGAGATCCTGTGTTTATGTCTGTCAGCATACTTAGGACGATGAATGTCTCAAATTAAGTGCTGCGGTTTCATTGCAGTATAAAGAAAAAGAAAAGCATATGTGACATACAAACATTTCAGGGTTCGAGGCTTCTTCTAAATTTTCTGAAGCATTAAAGCTTGCTGGTAAAATTCAAAGGTTAGGCAGAGGATATAATGATAGATAATGATAATGAGAGATAATTGTCAATAGATAATTCTTAAATCTTGATGAAAGACAAAAATATGCCTACCTATTCATAAACACCTGTGCAAAATGAAAGACTCGTTAACAGTGGTAGGGATCCTCACGATCATTCAGTCCAGTGTCCTACACGGCAATTTTCTCTGAACAAAAGGCCCTTGGGGTTTGGTCACCCTGTTCATTGTGTCTTTTGTTCCGCAGGCGTACGGATGCTGGATGGGGACGTGACAGACATGGTGGAGGCAAAGTCTCTGAGCCTTAACCCGCAGCACATCCACATCTACAGCGCCAGCTGGGGGCCTGATGATGATGGTAAGACTGTGGACGGACCTGCTTCTCTAGCACGTCAGGCCTTTGAGAACGGCATCAGAATGGTAGGTTGGCATCAGGGTGCGTCTCCCAGGTCTGCGCTCGCGTGCGGGTGGACGGGTGCACGTGCCTTGGCACGTGCCAGTGTGGGGAACATTCATATTCTAAAGGAGATAAGAAAAGCTTCGCTCGTGTAAAATGAAAAATTCATTTCCGTGCCATGCCAACCAGGCATCTGATCCTTCCTGAAGTAGCAGCCGACCTGCGTTGTTGTAAACATCATGACTACATCATCCTCACTGTCCCTTAAAACTGCACTGAGGTAATGATGTAATTCTACAGGAAAAGCTGCGCCTTAAAAATTCTACTTTGCACAGCACTGTCACATCATCAAATTTGAATTGCTATGAAACTATGAAGCAAAAGCCTTTGACTGTTTTTCTTCCTTCCTTCTTTTCTTTCTTTTGTTCTTGTGTTTTGCCTGATTTCATACTTGAAATAGGGAGGTGGAAGCTAAAGAAGAGATTGACACTCGCTAATCTCTTTTAGAGTGTATGCCTGGTCTCCAAGAATGTACGCCCTTTTTATAACTTGCATATAAATTTTTCTACTAGTTTGTGCTATTGTAGTGGCCCTGTGATATAGTCCAGAGAGCTTCAATAACACAATGCACAAAATCTCAAGCACCCCTATGAGACAAAAACTAAGACCTTTTCAATTTTCTTTAATAAATAACTGTCAAACAAGTAAAACCGCAGAAGGAAACAAGCAGTTAGAACATTCAATATCAGAAGCCAATTTTTAGTTCTTCCTTTTACTCTCCTGCCTGCTAAATAGATCAAGGAATTCCTGGTCTTCCAGTGCTCACACCTCTTTCCACTGTGTAGGACTGGATGGAAAGCATTTTAATGCTCTGCACTTAAAGGTATGAGCATTATTTTGAGTACAGTGGGAGACTTGCTAGTTCAGTGGTGGGTACCTCTAGGATCAGAAAGGAAGAGATTAATAAAAAATACTTATTTGAAAACTTGATGACTGAAGCTGTTGACCTAACACTGTAAAGCAAAATCAGAAAGTGCAGACATTATTTAAGCCAGTAGGAGCTTTAAGTAGGGGTTCCCAAGACTGATTTTAGCAAATTGTAATGAACATTCAGCCTAAAAAGTTTGTGCATTGTGCAGGAGACAGTGTTTGCCGTTGAGATATTATATTCGTTTAAGATATATCATAAAAAAAGAAGACAAAGGCAATGGATGTAGAAAGATAATAGGCAAAGTTACAAGAGCATCTGGCTGAGGTGATAGTCTGTTTGCCCTCTTTGCTCTGTATTTTGAGTGATTTGCAGTAAGCCTGGCTGCGAGGTGTAAGTAAATTCAGCATGAAATTAGAGACTGCTCTCGCCGCAACCGCTGTCTTGTAGCACAAGTCTCGGAGATCTGAATTCTTACGTTCCAGTCACAGCTGAATCATTGCCTGGGTTTGATTTCCTTGGTAAAGTTGTGTAAGTTGTTTTCTCTTCTGCCTGACCCTAGATGTGCTCGCCTACCTGGCAGGTGAGTATCAAGAGTGATGATGGAAGCACCAAGCAAGTGACAGGGACTGGGTGTTTCCTGTGCTGTGCAATGCTAAAGCATGCCTCATAAAAGTTAGTAATTTGTATTGCTTTAACAACCATGCAACACCGAGCTGGTGCCTTCGTTTCACTTACTAACATGGTGACCATTCAGTGGAGAGTAGCAGCCATATCCTCTAGCTTGTTGTACAGTGTATAGCATGTTAAACTCAGCATAACTAACTACTCAAGCATGTACTTGACTTTACCCGAGCAGAAATTCCAGTGGCTTAGCAGTAAAAAATGCTTAGGGATTCGTGGATCCTGCCTCCAGAGAGCTCTGCCACATTTAATAATCATTATTAGAGTAGTTATTGAAAAGTTCATAGAGCAAAGTCACAGATATGTGAGAAGGTCGAATATGTCTGCGTTGCTGTGTCCCAAGCGTCACCAGTTGTCCTTTCAGCTGGAGTATCAGCGCTCTCCAGAGCCCCAGTGCAGTCTGCTGCCGTTTGACAGGGAGTGCAGAGAGGGAAAATATGATGTCAAAGGGCTGCTTGGGGAACTGCGGGACACAGGGGAAGATGTGCAAAACAAGTTTCATATTTAACCAAACATATATGCTGGTTTAAATACCATCTTTCATGTTGACTAACAAGCCAAAATTTCTGTATCTAAAGAACACAGTGTTTTCTCGTTGAAATTTCCAATTCTCCAGAAGTCTGCTATAGGTCAGGAATGTGGATTAATTTTCTGTGAGCAACGATCTTGTATTCAGGTATCATTATTCCATTTTAATGATTTATAAATATAATTAGAGAGAATACCCTACAGACCACAAATAAATTTCATTGCATTACCACTTCGTGGTACCATAATATATTTATTTAAAGGCACCACTAAATAATGAAAACCCAGTACTTCTTTTTACAGTTCTGAGTGGGTCTTTTTTCTGAGAACAATCCATAAAAATAGTTCACAATATTTCTTAGAGTGTTATGAGAAGTCATCTTTGAGGGGAGTCTAGTTATTGTTTTTATGTTTTAACTTTGATTTCATTTTATCAGCCTTCTTTTCTTCTGCGCTAAGTGGCCCATGCCAAGTTGCAGATTTCTAAATGTTTCCACATATTTTGAAATGTTGTCTAGCTCTGACTGAGAGCTTTTTCTGCTAAGAAAATAAAAGTTGTGTTCAAAAGTTTAATCAAATTGAGATAGTATTATTGGAAGTATCTAATCATACCGATAATAGTGAGAAAATGCTTAAGGTTAATACTTTAACTTTCATTCTTTAAAGTGTAGCATATATTAAAAAGTTATGCTGCATGTATGTCTCAATTATCTCCGTATTTATCAGCATGGTTTTAAAGGCCAAAAATAGCTTTCAGATAAAGCTGTCTTCCTTAGTCCTCTCAAAAAAAAAATTCCTTTCAGTCTTTGGATAAAGGTACTCTTTTTATTCTGCTTTATATCTTTTTAAAAGCTGAGACACAGTTGGAGAAGAAAATACAAATTATCTCCGCTCCACAGTAAAACCAGATCATTGTCCAGGGTAATGAATGCTGGATAAATACCTTGCCAAACACTGATTTCCCCAAGCAGTCACAGTAATTGTGCAAATAATAATAGGCAGAGAAAAATGCTTGTTACACTGTGTACAGACCTTGACCTTTAATTTTTTGTAATGTTGAACTGAACAGCAGTGCTATTACATCAGGTACCTGTGAAGTAAATTAAGTAACTCGGTAAAGGCAAGTTTGGCAAGACCCTCTTTTAGATTTACATAAAGGTTCAAAATGATACTCGACATTAGTTCTGTGTATGCAGGCAGATCTGGATACTAATTTTAAAAAAAAGCACTGCAAAAAATAAGGTCAAGATTTTTTAAATGGATCTGAAAAGGAAAGTGTGCCTGGTTTATTTAATTAGGAAAATTACAGGTGGTGCTAAAAAATAATTTTGATTAAAGTATAATTAAACTGAGTGATCTCTTTTATCAGATTAATGATGTAAAAAGTGAAATGGATGCAAGAACCGCAGTTTCTTATTCTGAGACTGGGTTTCTTGAAAAAAATGCCGGGTTTTCTTTAGCTCATGTTATTCCAATTAACAACTCAAGCAGGGTGTTGTAGAACTATTATTATTTTTAAACCTGCTGAGCTAATATGATTACTCCTTCCAAATCCTGCACAAAATAACAAAGATAAATGACTGTACATTTCTTCCATAGAGCTCCACAACATGCCATAAATTTAAATAGACAAATCTATTTAAAGAAACTATACCAAATAATAACTGAGTTTATAAAATGAAACCATAACCAGAAATTAAATACACTTTAAAATTCTACCCAGGATCAAGGTGAAGAAAAAGGAAAACAGTTTTTAAACTTGTCTCAAGAACTGTGGTTTTCTGTCATGTTTAAGTTCTTTTGCTTAATCCTATTAAATTTACGTACTTGAGTTCGAAAAGTAACCTTGAAGACTTTATTATCAAACAATTTCTATGCAAATATAGTAACTCCCTTTTGTATCCTGCTTCCAATTGACAAGGTCCTTTCTTTAGAAATGGTTTAGTTACAAGGATGGAAAATTCTGGAAGCCTGTATTTCAAATAATGGTGTATTAAAAGTGTATTTATAACCTCTAAAACAATCTCTGTTACCACACAGAATATGCCTTAAAAATCAAACTAAGACCAGTATATCCGAAAGTAACGCATTCAAGAAGGGCTGGGTAAGTGTTGTCACGTAAGGCTCTCTGTTCATGAATGAGTAGGTTTCACATTGCCAAGCATGTGGCATGTGAACATGGCCATCCTATGGCCACCCTATGGAGCACAAACGTAATGGAGCAAGAATGAGTCTGGGACAGAAAGGGAACTACAGAAGTCTTTCCCAGGGAAAAAAGGATAAAACCAAAGCTCTATTATATTTTAGGATCACTGGTTGTATCTGCCAGCCTGCGTGTTACAAGCGTTTTATATTCTCATGCTCTCTTATACGCAGATCTGTGATACAGAACTGAAATCAGTTCTTTTCTGATCATAAAATAAGCCCATTTTTTGGGGCATCAGTCTCAGCATCCTTTGGCCAATCATACTTTTCAGATACTCTGACTTGTCCTTTCACTGCTGTTTGAGGAAGCCCCGCTAACCAGGTTTTTGGAGAACTGTGACCCCGTTGATGTTTTTCCTTTCAGGCTTTCAAAGAACTAGTTATCTCACCTCTCGCAACATGTTGCCAGCTACATGCTTTCTGCTGTTTGTTTTGCAGTGCCCATAAGGTAGCCCACATCAGAGGCAAGGCAGGTCATCCTTAATACAACACAGCAGGGTGGACAGGCAGTGAAATCTGCATGGGAATTTTTGGCTCTCTGCCCGAGTCAGCTCAGGGGCCTCTGTCTTACTGCCACGACACCGCTCTGCTCAGCAAGCTGGACACGAGCCAGCGTGCTTGATGGACTGGGCATCTGATTAATGATCAGAGGTTGTGTGGCTGAGCCTCTTGTGAGAG